CATACACAATGAATTTTTTTTTATACCCACACAGTTTTCTAAAAATTTTCTTAACTGTGGTAGATCGTGTAGTGGTAAAACTGATAGTTGTTAGACCAGGGTGGAAGTAACCTCTGCATTGTGAATATTTGAAAGTCAGTCACACCTTGCTAGTACTAAATTTGTATCTGGAAGAAAGTCACAATGAAATAAAGAAAGTATTAATGAATTATAATGGTTAGAAGCATAGGTTGATGTCTGCTTCCCTGAGTCAGCTCATGTGTGTAGGTACCAGTTTTTTAGTCTCAACCCCATTTATTACCTACTGGAACAAGGCTCTGCTTACATGACAATGATACAGCATTGGAGGGAATGGTTTGGGTTGAGATATAAGCTGTATTGGTCATTGTCACAGGAATGACAACCTATTGTAGCACAGCTATAGGTATTTGGTCAAATGGAGATGCAATGAAACCTGTAGACTGAGAAGCTCACAGATGTTCGTTATACATCATCTATGTGTGAATAGGGCATGAACACATAAAACCCACAGAAATGTCACTTGACAAAATTGATTGTTTATTACTTTGTCTCTGAAAAGAATTTATAGAGAACAACTAGCTGTGACCAAGCAATTATGACCTTATTTCCAATCTACACATATGGCTGACCTTGCGTTTTCAGTCTGAACTTTAGCTATTTAAGATTTAATTCATGACCCTTCTGGCTGTCTTCCTCTTCAACTAGCCATTGGTGTTTCTCATCCTCGTGTGCTTAAATCTCAAAATATTTATCATGTCAAACAATGGAAAGCAACTATGATGTAAATCAATATGCTCAAGAAATCCTGTTCAGTGAGATGTGTTTCATTAATGATCCAAGGACTCTTAAAGCCAGCCTGATTTTCAACCCGATGGAGTCCATGAATTAAGATGCATTGCTAGCTGATGCATTGAATGAAAGTGATCTGGCTAGGTTAATTGTTAGGTTGTCTTTGAAGTCCCTGAAGGCTGGGCAGCTCAAGTCAGGGTAGATCTACCCAAAGAACCCAAGCTCTTACCAAACAAAGTGTCCATCATTGTCTTGAAGGCTATTACCTCATGCTGCTCGACCTGAGTCTATATGTGGCTCAACCACAACTTCAGTACCTCCAGCATAGCAGGAGTTGAGGCAGATACCAAATCATTGGGAGCATTTTCTTTATTATTAAAGGTTTATTTTGTGTTTTAATTTTATTGCATATTGATGATCATAAAGGAGGTCAGGTGATGCCTCGAATTTACAACCTTCGTTAAGTTTGAATGAGAATGACTAATCACATTGGTATCTTACTGGTAAGTAAGAACATTAGGTGTTAAAGGGTAATTTAGTGGTTGATATATAGTCTTTACTGAAAGATAATTGTTATGTTATTATGGAATTATATTCTATGCTAAAGAGTTTGCACTGTGATATTGTGTTGTATAGTAAAACTTGATTTTGTATTTTCTATTATGTAAATTATGATTGGGCTGTTTATTAATGTTAAAGCATATCTTTCAATTATGACTGTATGGATTTTCTTTGTTAAAGGATTGTATTTTCTGTGTGAGTGTGAATATTTACATGAGCAAGAGTAGATTACATCACACCTTGACAAGTACAAGTGTATGCATTTTATTGGTTTATAGTTTAAAATTAATTGTCAGCTTGAGGACAAGCTTGAATTAAAGGGGAGGAAGGAAAATGTGGTATATAAGAATAGCATGTGTTTTCTGGTATGTATAGTTTTTGCATAACACGCGGTCAAGAAAGTCATTAAATTGATTTTATTTTAGCTGCCTTTGTTCTTTCTAATCTGCCCATTTGTGTATGGTTATGTTGCTGCACATTGATTAAGGATGTCGACAGCAGTGTCTTACAAAGGTAGGTCAGGTGATGCCTCGAATTTACAACCTTCGTTAAGTTTGAATGAGAATGACTAATCACATTGGTATCTTACTGGTAAGTAAGAACATTAGGTTAAAACAGTCTGGTAGATGATCTTGACCAATAAAGCTTGATTGATGTTATCTTTTATCCAGCAAAAGTAACCATCTGTCAAATAAGCAAGTACACACAGTGTGTTAGTGTAAATAATAAAGATTGTTTAGTTATGCTCTGCGTTGTGTCTGGTCACTTTGTTTTGTCCTAATGACCCTAGTTATTCAGAAATTCAAAACTACTCTGTGATAGATACCTTATTAAATATCCTATTATTTATTGGACTTACGTTATTACTCTAAGGAAAATGAGTTTGATCTGAAAACACCACATCTCAGATGTCATCACGGCAAAGTATCTACTATCAAATGAGTAAGACGGTGGCCAAACCATACTCTTTACTATGGAGGAGTTTGCCGTGAATGAAAGGTCATCAATAAACTTGTTAAATTATTTTCGCTATAGCTGGAGGTAACATATTGTCTGCTTATGGGGATAATAACTTTAAAGTTGTACTTAATGTGTGAAAGTAGACATCATTTTTCTCCATTGATAGGTCAAGTGACATTTCAAGGATACACACTCCTTTATTCTCTAATGGAAATAACAAATCATTTGAGTGGTGATAGTTGCCTTGGGAAAGTATGACCTTGTAGTTTGAAGTATATAACGTCATGTTTTCCTAAACTCAAACAGAATAATAAAATTAAGGATATACAGATTCACAGAGACTACAGAACCGCTCTCCAATTTACACATTGTTGTTTTGCGTTGAAACTAAATAATTTTTTCATTGTATGTTCACATTTGTGTCCTGTTTCTTTCTTTGCACAAACTCAGTTTCAGAGAACCTCAGAATTACTTCACAATATTTCGTCATCGAATCTCCCATTCTATAGCAGACCTATTTTATCCATTCTTGGTTGAAATCAGCTTCATCTGAAAATATCACGCATTTAATGCCCGGCATGGCCAGGTGGTTAAGGCACTCGACTCGCAATCTGAGGGTCGCGGGTTCGAATCCCCGTCACACCAAACATGCTCGCCCTTTCAGCCGTGGGGCGTTATAATATGACGGTCAATCCCACTATTC